GTTTCCCTTCTCTTTGCTGCTCTTCCTTTTTAAATCCCTATCTCTTCTCATGCTGGGCAGAACTTCTGTTTTGCAGCAGACTGCTTTGTCTCTGGAATGGATACACGGTGTCTATGTGTAGGTTTGCAACCTGAGCCAGCACTACAGGAAGAGGCACTCAGCTGCAAAGGGAAGTTATCCCCCAGCATGAGAAGACATGAGGATTTAAAAGGAAGAGCAGCAAAGAGAAGGGAAACAACCATGGATTACAGTAAGGCACACATTACAGTATTGGTTTATGTTAAAAAAATCTGAGGGTTTAATGTCACTTTAAGGTATGCAAAAAGATAACCCTTGCAGTGGGGCTACCTTTGCACTGCAAGGGTTAACTGCTTGTTTTTAACTAGGGGCCGGACTAAGGAAGATACACTCGCCTGATCCACAGTCCTGTGGCAGTGAGTGCTCACCTATCTCCGGCTGTGGTATGTCCCTCGACATCCTCACGTCTAATGCAAGTGAATAGACAGTATTAGATGCGATGATGTCAGCGAGGCTTAGACCACTGGAGTCCAGCTGAGAAAAGGCTGGATCCTTGCAGTGCAGGGGTAGCCCCAATGCAAGGCTTAACCTTTTACATTCCTGGAGTACCCTTTAAAAATATATATAAATATTAGGAACTTCAGGAATTATCTATTTTCCAAACTTACGTTGGGCCTACTTAGTTACATGTAATGATGCATGTGTTGCATCCGGAGAGTCGCTGGAGATGCTGAAATTTACTGTAGTAGCCTGTGCTGTTCTAGGTGCTGCTTGAGGGACTTGCCAAGCAGGGAGTCCCTTGCTCTCATACCTCTGCCACCATCTTACATCTTGTACAGCTTCTCTCTTCAGTTAAGATTTGACAATGAAAGAGAGAAGCTGATTGGTTGCCATGCACAGCTGCTCCAGTATGAATAAATTCCCTTCAAGGTGATTTCCGATTAGACAAGGTGGCGATTGTGACGTCATCCAACACCTTGTATTCATTGAAAAACAAAGTACAAGATGGAAGACAATGGCGGAGGTAAAGGAGCAAGCGACTCCCTGTGGTTAGTGGACAGATGGCAAGTGGCTCCAGCAGCACCTGGAACAAGACAACACTGACTGTATGTAGCACAGAATGCTACAGTAAATTTCAGCATCCCTAGTATCCCTCCCGTTGTGACATATGCATAATTATATGTAATCAAGCTGGGCCAACGAAAGCTTAAAAAACAGACGATTCCTGTTCAGCTTTAAAACTATATAACCTAGCATCATATTGCTTTATTTGAGTAAAGGCAGGACCAGTCGCCACAATGGTAGAAGCATGCCTTTATGTAATGGAACTGGAAAAGACTAAACCTTTTAAAGGACCCTTATCTCTCCAATAAGAACAATATTTAGAAAGCATTACAACTGTTTTCTTATAGCTGCATAAGTAACTACAGGCCAACTCCAGGAAAAACTTTGAGCTGAGAAGGGTTCGATCCTCATCCTGGTTTTTATTGCTGTGCAGCCAACAGCCACCTAGCAACCAATGTCTCATCAGCTCCTGCTATGGCCATATTTGAGTAATGATGTCAGCCAGCGTCTCTGTCCCCTTTATTTACATCTAGCTGCCAGCTTAGGAATCTCCTATATGGCAGCTGAATGAAGCCTAGACTCATCTTTGGTCGCTAGGACACAAACAGCCAGCAGTATCTTAGCAACCAATGACTCATCCCCAACCCCATTCAGCTCCTGCTATGGCCATATTTGAGTAATGATGTCAGCCAGCATCCCCGACACCTTTGTTTACATTCAGCTGCCAGCTGGGGAATCTTTCTGAATGAAGCTTAAGCCTAGATGCATCCTTGGTTGCTAGGACACAAGCAACCAGCAGTGTCCTAGTAACCAACGACCCATCCCCAACCCTATTCAGCTGCTACTATGGCCATATTTGGCTAATGATGTCAACCAGCATCCCCCGCCCCTTTATTTACATTCACCTGCCAGCTGGGGAATCTCTCTGAAGTTTAGATGCATCCTTAGTTGCTAGGAAACGAGCAGCCAGCAGCGTCTAGCAAACAATGAATCCTCAGCGGGAAGCTGTCTGATTTATGACAGCTTCCCAGCACATATACACCCCAGTGAGCACTGGTATCTCTCTGTAGACCTGCTCAGATTTAATCTCAATTACCGTTGTTTTTCTCATCTGTAAACTGGCAGTCATTCTTTTTGAATCTGTGGCAGCCATAGCGCCATTTTCCTAAAGTGGCGCCAATAAGACGTACCTGAATCTGTCGCAAGTGTTGATAATGCTACCAAAATCAGTGCCAGGGCTTTTTTTGAAGGTGGCACAGGACCATTTAAAGGTTCATATTACCAAAAAAGTGGCACAAAGCCTTTACTGAATTCCTTCTATTGAGTTTTCTGGCAGATGAACAGGTATTTATTGGACTTGCAGTATTTCTAAAGTGATGGCCATGAGAATATGTGCAGAGAGGTACTAAATGGTCCCCCCCCCCCCCACGCATGAACTTTAATATAAAGTTTGGCTTAATGCTAGTCACCTGGCTGCCATGCTAATGTAATTGTCTCAGCTACTAACCCAGTTCAAACATGCACATCAGCAGTTCTGACTTTGCTTGCAGCATACTTGTTTAGAAGTCACTGAAGTCAATGGAACATTCCAGCAGGAGGATAGAAATAGCAGCCTCCCTATCTCTTTAGTCATATCTGAGGAGCCTATCACACCCTGATTTCATGCTTACAAGCTGCTGAGATTTAGCACTGTTATCAGGTCACAGGATCCCAGGGCAACACTGTACACGTTGCTCATCCTCATTTGCAGAACATCCTCCACCAAGGGATGGAGTATGAGGACACGTGACAAAAACGGAAGTCTCCCAATGTTTCCTAGCAACGGGAATCTCGGCTATCAACGTTGAGCTACGTAGTGCGCTTGCGCGAAAACAGGAAGCGGATGCGGGTCACTGTTTTCCCAGAATGCTTTGGGAGGAGCGAGAGCAAAGATGGCGGCGAATCCGAACTCTAGCAAACCCCTTTTTGAATGTCCGACCTGGTGAGTTAAGGGGGGGTGTATAGAGGAGATGAACTTAGCTCTGCTCATCCTGGCATGAGAGAGGCTACTAGGAGGTATACGGACAGTAAGCAGAGTTGGCTATGAAGCTGCAGATCGCCAATGAAGGGGGAGGTGTGGCGGAGTGTTCGGGGAATGTTTCATCCAAAGGGAGGTGTGCAGGGAATTTGTGTCCTCGTGTGCTTTCCTGCACGAAGCGGCTAGTTATTAGGTAGAATGTAGTTACAGGGGCCATGCACGCAATCCTTCTCAGCCATTGAACTATTTAAATTCTGCAGTTTTGTTTGCTCCACGTCCTTGCTGTGTGTCTGCCTGTAGCAGTCATGCAAAACTGAGTCATGCAGAATAAGAAGATTCTAATACAGACCTAGTGACCTGATGACATCTAAATCCTAAGATCCCATATAGATGAGATTTTGTTTGCTCTAAAATGGTTTTGCCATAAAAATCAATGGGAGTGCTTGAAGCATATCAGGAAGGGGTTAACGACAGGTCAAATGCACTGTCAACGAATTCTGGAAGAAGTGTCTCAGAAAGATGCCGTCAACACAAGTCTGAAGACCATTGACACAGGTACTCTTCCTCTAACTGACAGCAAAGATTGGCACAAGTCCTCCTTCTGATGCCAACAATGCAGCATTATTACTCCTATTGATGGCAGCAATATGACATTATTAATTCCAATTATACCAACGACGGGGCACTACTGCTTCCACTGGCACCAGCAAATGTCCTTATTCCTTTCACTGACACCAACAGTGGTGCACTCTTCCTTTCTCTCACACCACTGATGGGGCATTTGTTGCTCCACGTGCTGACCACTGGCACCATGTTATTCTTTTGCTGACCACCAAGCCTGGGGCATTTTTTGTATAGCCACAGACTGCTAAGCCTGAGACCTCCCACTGACAAATAGATACCAGGGCATTTTCATTTCCAAATGGCCACAGTTAAAGTGACACTAAACTCAGGCGTAAAGTCTTAGAAATGCACTCAAGTACCTTAACTGTGTTAACACAAATGAATCTTATTTGTGTATCACTCGGCTGTAGATCCTCAAATCATCTCTGACTTGGTGCTGACACTGTCCTTTCTTCTGGAGGGTGGCTACTTCTGTGAAATTTTAGAAAAAACTACTTGTCCAAGGACTAAAGCGGGGGCCAAATCTACTTGTCCCTCATGACAATCTACTTGTCCTGATACAAAAAAAAATAATTTTAACCAAAACCGTATTTAGTAGTGCTAAGAAGCACTTCTCATTGGTCAGTGCCGTCAGGTGACTGCGTTGACCAACAAGTGCTTGCAATTTGCGAGCGGAATTCACAATACATGGAACAGGCACAGATAGTACACCCGTACTGGTGGACGGGAAGGACCGCTTGCCGAAAGGTAAGTATAGTGGGAGGGAGATTTGTGCGTGTAATTCCGTTTTCCCAAATTACTTGGGAAAGTGAATATACCCTTTAGGGTTGGTGCAGACTTGGGGATTCCCAGGACGTGCGATCGTGTGCGGTTGCATACATCGGTTTTCATCCGCATGTATGGGGTTACATCTGCGTGGCAACCGCTGAAAAAAAAAGGTAGATGTACCTATTTTCACGACATGCGCCGTGCACTGTTTTCAACCGTGATCGCCCGCGGCGGTATTGCAGCAGGAAAACACGCAATCTGCCTGGCACGACTGGGGTGGCATTAAAAAATAATGGCACTGACAGCACCATCGGCGGTGGTGTGCGATTCCGTAACCACCCAGCCATCCGCTCGGTTTCGTGCATGATGACCGTGCAGTCACAGATCGCACACCACTGCTGATCGCGCTGGCAGTGCCATTATTTTCTAATGACACCCCAGTCATGCCAGTCAGATTGTGCGTTTTCCTGCTGCAATACCGCCCTGCCCGAGCGGTTGCACACGATGGCAGTTGAAAACACTGCGTGTTTATTCGCATGCAGATGGGGACAGCGGGGCTGGTTTTCATTTTTAAAATTTATATTTACTTTGTAAACATTTTTCATTTGTTTTATTATTTTTCCTTAATCGCCTTTTTTTTAGTTGCATTTTTAATTATTATTTTTTACTTTTTTCATTTTAACTTTTTTTTTTTTTTTTTAAACTTAACTGTATTGCTATCACACAGGGAATAATAATCCCCTGTGTGATAGCATTTGGAGGTGACAGGTACTCTTTATTGACCCTGTCACCTCCAACACAGGCGTTCTAGCACAGCACTGTTGCTAGAACTCCTGTGATAGGAACGAGCAGCGGCCGCCGGGGACAGAGGCTGAGGGAGGTGACAGAGTCTGTCACAGCTCCACCGTCCGGCTTCGTCACGGCTCCACGCCCCCCGCCACGTCATGGCTCCACGCCCTCTGCTCCGTCCCCAGTTCTCAGCGCTCCGTCCACGCCCCCCTCTCTCGGCGCTCCACGCCCCCTGCTCGCAGCGCCGCTCTCGGCGCTCATTTAAGAAAAAAAACCCAGCCCTGCCACTTGTCCGTAGCAGGGCTAAAATAGTGACAAAACAACTTGCCCGGGACATGTAGTCGGGCGATACGAATTCCACACTCCTGTCCTTGTGTGTGTTGTAAAGTAGCCACCACTCCAAGCTTGCTCCTGTGATGGACTACAATCTCATGTATACTTTACTAATTTGTATTAAGATTGTAGTACATTGTGGGAGCGAGCTTGGAGCAGTGACTACTTCACAACACAAACAGGGAACATGGGGAACATAAGTAGCCACCCTCCAGAAGGAAGGACAGTGTCGGCACCAATTCAGAGATGATTTGAGGATCTACAGCTGAGTGATACACAAATCTAAATTTTTCTTATAGTTATGGTACTTTGAGTATAATTCTTAAGATGTAACTCCTGAGTTTAGCGTTACTTTAACTTGTCCTTTGTTTGGGGACCCCCACATTGTCTGCAAATAACAAACTTGGCATTGGTCATAACTGGTTGATTTTAACAGACGTGCTGAACTTTTCTGTTGTAAATTCATGACAAAAGTAATTCAGAGGTTGGAGAACATTTGAAGCATAATCAATTCACTGGGGTTGATTCAGTAAAGGAGTATAGGTTGTTCACTTAGGAAAGATTATATGCAGAATCATTATGTTAACCAGTGTGCCACAGAAGCAGTTTCCATTTGTTTAGTAAATGAACCCCATTGTCTTTTTTTCTGAAAATGTGGGTAATGTGCAAGCCTGCATTTTTTTCACACTTGTTGGTAACATTCATTTCACCTTCTCCCACTATATAGGGCAGGGAAACCTCCTCCCGGTTTGCACCTTGATGTTGTGAAAGGAGATAAGCTTATAGAGGTAAGAATATATTAGGCAACTGCTAACACTGACTGTAGATTGCCGCTGCTGTGTAGATACAGTATAAAATTATTAAAAGCAGGCCAGGATAAATCCTATCTGCCATCACTAATTAAATCTCAGGTGTGTGTATATGTATGTGCGGCTAGCACTATCTTCAGGGATGTCTGTAATATGAGATCTACCACCGAAGTAGGTCTTATTTTTGGGGTAGGTCTTATATTACAGAAATCCCTGAAGATAGTGCTAGGTCTTATTTTCGGGGTAGGTCTTTCGGGGAAACACTATATATAT